GAGAGAGAGAGAGAGAGAGAGAGAGAGAGAGAGAGAGAGAGAGAGATCATCCGGTGCCAATAGTGCTTGGTTGGACTGTGCAAATGCATCGGCATACAGAAGGGGTTTGCGTCGAGCAATGCTCGGCATTCTGTGGTCGATGGTCGGCGATTGAGTCCCGTGACTCAAAACCGCAATGACGAAGGAAAATCGTTTACACATGGTCCATCACACGAACGGCTGAGAGGGGTGTGTGTGTGACAAAAAAGGTCGCAATGCTGTTTCAGAAAAGAACAGGAGAACATCCTACAGGCAGGGTTGTGCAGGGGGGCAGCCGCGCAGGGCCGGCCGCATACTGCATGTGACGCGATCAGCGCAGGAAATGCAAAAGGCGACGGCAGACCAAGAAAAAACTTGGGGGATGGTAAACCTACAGCTGACTGCTGCCAATGCTGCTTTGTCGCTCCACAGAGCGCAAAACATGATTAGCATGTGAAAATCTTGTACGCATTCGGCGTCCCAGCGAACAACTCGATGAGAAAAAAACTTCATCCTACCAATCTTTTGGGGTACGATTTGCCGACAAGTCTACTTTTTCATTTGTTTTTTTGGTCTTGTCTCGGTTTCAGCCAGTCGTCTTACGAATTCCCGCCGGGCATGTAGACACCCCGTGTACCCCACCCCCGAGATGCGCAAGCCTTCATACCATGACACCCCAGCCTTTTGACAAGACAGCACCCAACGCCCTCACCCTAAAATTACAGTGACGTAGGTAGTAGTTGAGGCACCTGCTTCTACGCACTTCTATAGCCTGCACTGCTGTTGTGCACCTAAAGAACCGACCATCATTTCGTGTCAAGAGAGAAGATCGGCAAGAGCCTCGATATCTTCTCTCAGACTAACAACGGACACGCACACACACCCCTGAGTCAAAGGTCATGGGATGATGGCCTTTAGAAGCATTCATCTGTTTATAGCCGCACTGCTGCTGTATGCCTGGCGTCGTGTCATTGGTCAGCCGGTTAGCGCGGTCTGCTAAATTACGCATTGACAAAATATCGAAGAACATGTACGCACCTTCACTCTCGATCTGTTGGCCGCCTCCCTGTTCTTCATAAGCCTCTCCTCTCGCTTGGCCCTCTTCGTGATCCGACCCGCCCCGCCCTCGCCGCCCGACAGCAGCCGCGGCGGCGTAGCAGCCGCCGCCCCTCCTCCAGCACAAGGTTGCCCCAAAGCGGCACCCGCTGGCGCATCCCCTCCTCGCAGCCGCTTCAACGCCTGCCCGGCTGCCGCTTGGAAGCCGCTGAAGTTGAGAGCGGGGAAGGCGGATAGGGCGGCGGCGGCGGCGGCGCTAGAGCTGCTCGCTCCGCTGAATCCGGGGGCGAAGGCAAGAGGAAGGATCGGCGTACCCGCGCCCGAGCTCACGGCCAGCAGACGCTTACTGTTGTTGCTGGCGGCGGCGGCGGCGGCGGCGGCGGCGGCGGTGCTAGCTTCGCTAACGGTGCTCCTGGGTGCTTGAACGCTGCCAACACTGCTGTCGTTGGAACGCGCGGGGGAAACACCGCCTCCCATGATGCAGCTGCTGCCGCCATCGTCGCTTTCTTCGGACACGCTTGTGGTGGACCAGGTGGAGGTGGTAGCGGTACGCGTGGCCATCGCGGCACCGGCACTGATGTCGCCCTCGCTCACGATGTGGCCGGTCACGTCCGCCGTGGGCGAGCGGGTGCCGCCGCTTGTTGGTTCAACAGCAGCAGTGATCGGAGTCGGCATTGCGGGAGAGAGAGCGTCCCTCTCAAGCCACTCCGCCTTGAGGCTGAGGTCGATGTCACTCGTGTTGACGGGCGAACCGGTGGGAGCGGCGGCGGCGGCCGGGTTGCCGTCGCTGCTGGCCGTTCCGGCCCCCATCTCCTCCGCATCTCGGAAAAGCTCTTCGAAGTCGAAGTCTTCCGCGTCCCAACCATCGAGGCCGTGACTCTCGCTGCCGCCGCCCAGCGCTAGAGGTGACAGCGGGGGCGGGTGACACGCGGGTGAGATCGCCACGGGAAGCTCCATGACCAGCGGAGACAATGGGTGGGGAGTGTCGAGCAATCGAGAGAGTGTGACGTGAAGTATGATACGACGGGCGTGATAAGACAGGTGACAGGAGAAGACAGGAGACATGGTTGACATGGACGACTTGTGGAAGCGGCGAAACTCCGACCCGGTCGTCGTTCCTGACCAATCAAAAGACGCCAGCTGACGAGATTTTTCCCTTGAGGGGGGCTGGGGGGGCGTCATGCTCGTGGGTTTCTCCAGTCTCTGCAAGTCTCTGCTGCGCTCGAATTGCCTGCTCGCGCTCACGTGGAGAAATAAGATCCACGGCCTGCAACTTCTGCGTGCGACGCTGTGGTATGTCTTTCGCCCCCACGCTTTGGCGCGGTGCCTTCTTCGTCGGTGTGTAGCGATTTCTAGGAACGTTCCTCGGGTGGGTGCAGCTCGTGTGGTGCGCGACCTACTTGCTTGAATTATGAACAGTCTATTATTGCTCATTGTCTCTTGCGCGGCGGCTGAGGCTTATGTACAGCGAGCTGGCCCCGACCGCCTCTTTCGCCGCGGCTTAGGCTTACACGTACAGCAATGACCTACCGTAGTGTTTCACCTGTCCCGTGGCGCGGCTAAATTTTAACCAACCTACAGCAACAGTCGACAGCTTTTCGAAGTGTTCTATGGATACAGGCGTGGTCCCGGCTTAGCGCTCCCAAGTGTTGCAGTATGTCACAACCGCTATTGAGGGCATCGCCGCTAAACCGGATTGACAGTTAGTCTAGTGTAGTAGTTTGACCGCCGACGTGCAGGCGTGTCACGAGATTTTGGAACCGCTGTTCCGGGCATCCCGCTAAACAGGGAATCATTAAACCGGGACCATGACTGTACACCAGCACTGCTATGCTGTATTGCTGTACTCCTGTATTTTATTGCCCCGCGGCAGATATGGCCGGGAGCTCTTCGACAGACCGCAAGCGCCATTCCGACTCAAGATCCGCCTGCTCCAGGCGGAGGCGATGGAGGCACTGCTGTACGGCCGCATGACATCGTCACCACTCAGCGGCCACTATCAGACGCTGCGGTCGATACACCACCGACTGCTCCTTCGAGTCATCGGGTACAAGCGCAAGACACCTACTGGCAGCTCTCTTACGCCCAGACGCTGAAGTGGGTCGAATGCCAGAGCGTTGAAGCCACGATCCGACAACGACGCCTACTGTTCGCGGGAGCATTGGCAAGGCAGCCGGACGGGCGACTCCCGAAACGACTGATGTTAAGCGAACTGGGAGGGGGGGAGAAGCGACGTAGGGGGGCACAGGAACAGAACTGGCCGAAGTGTGTGCTCGACGACCTGAAGGCATTCGGGGCCGACCACGGACCTACGAAAACCGATCCATGTTGTCTCGGAATCCCGGTACCGAAATACACGGCACCGCAGTTAAAGTGGACGGAAGCCGCGAAGGTAGAGGGGGGGGTACCCTGGCATGCGGCGGTGGTGCAGGGAGCTGAGAGGTTCATGACCTCCTGGCACGAGAAGGAAGAAGAGGCCAGCCGACAACGGGCGCTCAAACGAAACCACAAACCACCAACCAACGGGGCGGGAGGGGGGCAGGAGACGGACGAGACGGCGAGGGAAGAAAACAAACGAGAAGAGACGGACCGAGTGGCGCGATACTTGCCGGATTGAATTTTCNGGAGCATTGGCAAGGCAGCCGGACGGGCGACTCCCGAAACGACTGATGTTAAGCGAACTGGGAGGGGGGGAGAAGCGACGTAGGGGGGCACAGGAACAGAACTGGCCGAAGTGTGTGCTCGACGACCTGAAGGCATTCGGGGCCGACCACGGACCTACGAAAACCGATCCATGTTGTCTCGGAATCCCGGTACCGAAATACACGGCACCGCAGTTAAAGTGGACGGAAGCCGCGAAGGTAGAGGGGGGGGTACCCTGGCATGC